ATTTTTTTTGTTTTTTTTTAAAATAATTAGTAAATCATAATATAAATAATGTTTTTATTTATTTTAATTGTAATTTTGTTTTTATACATATCTATAAATATTAAAAATATTTTTAATATATATATTTATTTAAAAATAATTAATTATAAAAAATATTAAATTGAAATTTTTTACATTTATCAATATTTTATTAACTTAACAATTTTATAATATAATATCTATTCTTTTTTTATTTAACACATATTTTATTACTAATTCCATTTTATCAATATCGGATAATAATTTTAATTTTATTCTAATTTTTTATATTTTATTTTATATTTTTAATATGTTTTTTTATAATATCAAATTTTTTAATTTTATTATTTATAAAATCATTTTTTTAAATTATACTTAATTTGCCATATTTTTAATTTCTGTGTTATAAAGAATATTATAAATTAAAATAATTTTTATTTTATTTGAAATAAAAAATTAATTAATATATATATATTATATTAATTTTATTTATTTCTTGATTAATAATACTTATTTTATTTACATATATCTTTATTAATTATTTTATAAAAAAAATCCATATAATTATAAAAATTATACTATACAAAATAAATATATAATGAAGATTTTTCAATTACACAATATATAATATAAATAAAAACAGAATTTTTTTAGTGTTTAAAAACATAATATTTATAAATATTTTTAGTTATTCTTATTTTATTTTAATTTTTAAAGTATTTAATAAATATATTTTTTTTATATTAATAAAATCTAATATTTACAATATAAAAAAAAAAAAATCAATATAATATAAAAAATTATAATAAATAATTTATTTTATTATTATTTACAAAAAAATACACATATATATAAAACAATAATACTAAAAAAAAACAAAACAAAATTTAGAGCATTTAATATCATCAATCATGTCCTATTTCCTATTCTAAAAACCATAAACTACTTACAAACCCTATTGCAATTAAAAAAAATACAAATTTTTCAAACCTAAATCTTTTATCACTAAACTCTTCTACTAAAACTTCCAAAGTAGCTATATAAAGAAAAGTCCCGACACTAATACTCATAAAAATGCCCATAACTAAGCTTCCTGAATTACTTAAACTCCATCCAATTCCTACTCCTATAGGATTCATAACAGCTTAAATAATGATCATTATACTAGCTACCTTTAAATCAATATTAGCTTTTTTAAATGATAGTCCAATCGTAATTCCTTCTGCCCATTTATGACAAAGTACTGCTGCTACTAATATTAAGCATTTAATCCAATTATTTTCTAGTCCAATAGCCAATCCTTCTAATGTTGCATGTATTCCAAAAGCTACTTATAGTATATAAGGTTTTAAGTTTTTTTAAGAATCTTATTTTTTAATTTCTTAGTGTATTTTTTCGACTTATTTTTTTTGTTTTGATAAACTCATTCTTATATGAGAATCTTCATCTCCTAATCTTTAAGTGAGTTTTTTTATGTTTATTTTATTATTTCCGAATTCTATTATATTATCATTTATTTAAATTCTTTAAGAAGTATTATCAGGACTGACTAGTTATGATATATATTTTTATTCTTAACTACTTTAATTAATTTATATTTTTTCTAATTATTATTATTTTTCTTCTATAAAATTAGCTTTTTTACTTTAGTCTTCTTCTTATAAATTTTAATCTATATGATTATGTTCCTCATTTGAATGACCACCCGTTATAACTTTGTCTATAAAAAGGATTAATGCAAAACTTATCACTATTATAAAATATGGCCATGGAAAATACTCTTATTTATTTTCTTTTTACATATTTCTTTGTACATGCGATTATTCGGGTAATTGATTTTGGTAATATTTCTAAAATTATTCTTAAGATTCAGGTAAAATATGTAAAATTCCTATTGATAAAAATAAACCACCGGCAAATGCAGATGATAAGGACATTATTCGAGGATTTTCTTTAAAGGATTTTACACGTAAAGGTATGTTTCCGGTTAGTAATATAATTAAAAACATTGTGAAAAATGTTATAAGTTTTATTATCCAAACTTCCATTTATTATATTTTATTAAATTTTTATTAATAATATTATTTATTTGTTTTACTTTGTTAATTAGCATATTATTATAAATTTTATTTTTGAGAATATTAAATTTTAATTGTATAAAAAAAATATTTGTAATTTTTAATAATTTAAAAAAATATTATAAATATAAATAAATATTATTAAAAATATATATAAAAAAAAGAATAATTATAAATAGTTAAAAAAAAAAAAAATTTAAAAAGTTTAAAATATAATAATTAATATAATAAAAAGTAATAAAAAATATAGAAAATAAAAAAGAAATATTATAAATGAAATGAAATGAAATAATATTTGTTAATAAATATATTAAATATAATTATAATTTAAATATATATATATATATATATATTTATATTTATATAATTTTTCTTATTTATTTACATATTAAATTATATATTTTAAATATAGATTATATTATTTTATAATTAAAATATAATCATTTTTTTTAAAAATAAATATTATAATTTATTTATTTTTTTTATTTATTTTTAATTTATATGTTTGAGTATGAAAATTTTATTTAATAAAATTTTATCAGCCTCTTATTTTTGAGATAACTCCACTTGTAAGGCTATTTATTATGCCAATTACTGAAAAAATACCTCCTACAATAGCACATACTTAAACTAAGAAATGATAAAAGCTTTATTTTTAAGTATTATAGACAATATTTATTGGTGAAACTTCATATTTAAAAGTAATTTAAGGAATATCTTCTTATTATTTTCTTTCCTTTTTTAAAATTTTTTTTTTTATTATATTCATAGATAATCAAATATATATTATTTACAATATTTGAAGTATACATAGCATATTTGTATTAATTTGTATGAATACCTTTTTTATTATAATGATATTAAACAGGAATAATTTTCAAATATTAATCAAAATCATTTTTTCCCTCAAGTATAAATTTCATATTATCATAAGGTGAATAACTATTAGTATTAAATCCAAATCTAAATTAAAAATAATATTACTATATAATACATATAATAGTATATAAATATATATTACATAGATAATTATTAAATTTAATTTTATTCTTATCCAAAACCTAAATGATTAATAACAAAATTTAAATTAAGTTATTAAAATTCTTCTTTATTTTTTTATTTTAATTTATTATATAAATCCATTTTCGAATGATAACTAAAATGAAAATTTCCTGGTACTTTTTTTAAAAAAACATTTCCTTTAAATCTACATTATTCTTTATCTTTTATTGATTATAATAAATCTTAATATTCATTTTCACTTCCTCTATAATTTTATACGTTTTACTATGTATAAGGAGATTCTATACCATTTATTATTTTTGTTTTTGTTAAAGTCTCAATATAATCGGCTATATGTGAACCTACATCATCTTATTAATCTAAAGCAAGTACTTTTTTTATATATAAATATATAAATTAATATAAAAATAAATATTTATATATATATATATATATATATATATATATATATATATATATATATATATATATATATATTTATATATATATATTTACAATGACAAGGAGATCCTTATATCGTTATATCTAAATTTGCCTTTACTAAATCATTTTCGATTTAACTTATTATCATAAATGATTTTATATTTGTAGTATTAAATTCATTAAATTCATTTATGAATAATATTAATCCGGCCTTTATTTATTTATTTAATATTTTAAGTTATTTTTTACTATTATAGCTATTATTGAATATATTCCTCCAGTAGCTGTTGACGTGTCTATGTCTTAATTTACTTTTTTAAAAATATCAAATGATCTTATACTCATATTTTATTTAATTATTATATTAAATAATTTTATATTTATATATTTTTTTAGATATTTAAAAAAAAAAAAATTAGATAATAAAAAAATATATATAAGTATTAATTTTTCAACACGTATTTTTTTTCTTAATTTTTTTATTTTTTGTCATTTAATCATATTTTATACATAATTTTCTTTCATCTTATAATTAAATTTCTCTTTTGTATAATATATAGATATACAAAAACCATAAAAAGTGCTGTTTATATATTATTTTAAATATTTTAAATAATGAGATCTTCCTCTAGAATATTAATACATAATAAAAAGAGCTTAACTTACAAAAATAGTCTTAAATGTATCTTATATTAATTATTTTTTAAATTTGCCTAAGTTCTTTTAATTTATATATTACAATTTTAAGTGTTTATCATCAAATCCTAATAAGAAATATGTCATACAGTATGCATCAATAAAATACTATTACATAAGAAAAGTAATAAAAAATAAATATATCTTTTATAAAAAAAAATATAATATATATAAAATATGTTTGAATCTATATATATAAATATATGTAAAGAAAAAATTAATGTATATATATATTTTTTAAAAATATTTAAATATATATATTTTTTTATTTATTTATTTATTTATTTATTTATTTTTATATATATTTTTTATTTATTTAATTTTTTTTTATAATATTAAACTATTATATTTTTTTTCTATTTCTAAAATATATTTCTTTACATTAAATTAAAATAAATTAATTATATTTAAAATTTTCTTAAAAAATTATATTATTATTTTATTTATTTTTTAAAATTTTTTTTTATTAAAATATAATTTCTTTTTTTAATATATCATTTAAATAATAATAAAAAAAAATATCTAATTTATTTTTAACTTTATATTATATAATATTTTTTATTTATTATTTTTTGTTAACTTTTTTTTTTTATTTAACGATTAATAAAATATATTTATATATTTTTGAAATATAATTAGATAACCCCATTTATAATTATTTATTTTAAATTTTAAAAAATTTATCAAAATCATTTTTATTTTTAATATTGTACTTTTTATTTTAAAGACCTATACTATTTTATACATATCAATAAATTTTATCTAAAAAATAAATAAGAAAAATAATATTTTAATTGTTTATATTACACATTTAAAGAACAAATACGAATTGTTTTATATATAATATGATATATTTATAAAATAATAGTTTAGTTTTTTTTTGTTTTTATACATTTTTTAAATTTATAAATTATTTAATTATTATAATTTGGAAAATAAGTTTAATTATTTAATTCATTATTTTTTATAATTATTAATAAATGATTATTTATACTATTATTGAATAACTTTATTTACCGACATACATTCTTTATTATTTTCATTTGCAATTATTTTTTAACTAGATTACATAATCTATTTTTTCAATATTCTTTATAAATTAATATCATTTATTTATGAATTATCTATAAGTTCAAATCTGTTTTTTTCTGGTTTAGTAATAATAAAACTATGTTACTAAGAAGGATTATTATTATTATTTACATTTTTATAATCAAATTAATTTCTTATGTTTTTTTCATTCGTTGCCGCATTAATATCAAAATTTTATTTTTTTCCAATTTAAGATTAAATATTAGGATCAATATATTAAATAAGCTTCTCATCTACTTAATTTTTTTCAGTTTAATTTATTATATTTTTAAATGCTTCGAATGCTTCTGCTGTTTTCTATATTTATGATTTTTTATCCATAAAAATAAAATCTTAATAATTAATATCGATATTGCTATTTTTAATATGATAACTAGAAGTTTAATTTTATTCTATATTTTCTTGTTTTATTATTGGTTTTGGTAAATAATTAAAAACCTTTATTTAATCTTAATTTAAAAGTAATAATTTCAGTTTATCTACTTCTAAAAGTTTATTAATAATAAACTATACATCTAAATGATTTGTTAGTAAACTATATGAATATTTTAGTTATTTAGTTATTTATTTAGTTTTTTTTCTACAAGGACATAAGAAATAAGATAAATAAGAATAACAATTTAATTATAATCTTTTTTAAGAAACCTAATAATATATATATATAATAACAACTAAATAAATATATATATATTTCTTTATGTAACAATAAATATTATTTGTTTTACAATTTATATTTTATATATAATATATTTATATATATTTTATAATTTTTACATTAAATAGTTTTTCTATTTACTTATTTGTTATTTAATTTTAATTGGAATTAAGCATATATTATGATATTATTAAATCATCTGCTTTTTTAGATTCTTATTATAAAGTAATTATATCAGGCTATTATTATTAATCATTTTATTAAATACAATTTAAATTGTTATTATTACATTATTAACTTTTTCTTATATCTTTTTATAGTAAATCTTAGTTTTATTTTTTTAAATCTTCCTAAGGCTTTTCAAAAGAATAAATTTCATTCACAAGATTATAATTTAAATCAAATTAACTAAATTTACTACAAATAAAATACCCTATAAATAATAATAGATTCGAAACTCCGGAAACTTAAGCAAGTATATCTTAAAGTTTTTAGTATTATCTAAAATAACGTGACTATTTAGCTTTTTCGAATCTTAATACTAGATGTACAAATTATTAATTTTCTTTAAGAAACATAATTTACTCAGTTTAATATTAAAATACAGTTCCTTTTTTTATATTTATCTATTAATCTAGAAAACCTAAATCACTTTCCATATATATATTTCTTTTATATAGATTTATATCTTTACCTATTTGTTATTTTTTTATTTTTTTTCAACAAAATAAATAAAACTTATTCTATTAGAAACAGGCCAATATTAAGCTTTTAATATTTTTTAAAAAGGTTACTCTAAGTTCTTAGGATCTATTAACCTATCAGTAAAATAAGAGTTTAATTAAGCAGTTTCTAATACTTCATTTATTATATTTTTATCTTAACAAATCACATAAGGCTTCCCTTAAGCTTTTTTTTAATCTTCTTCTTCTTAATTACATGCCTTTATTGATATTTCTATAGCTGAAAATGCATTTGCTTCGAAATCTCCTTCTATATACATCCCATTATCTTTTTAAAAACAATACATATCATATATGCCTGGAAGTTCTTTTAATTATTCATATACATTAGCATCCTTTTTTTTTTTTTTTTTTTTTTTTTTTTTGTTAAAAATAGTATTTATAAATAATTATTAATAAACAAAAAAAATTCGTATTATTTACCTTATAATATTATTAGGTACATCTTTCTAGTATTAACTCTTTTTCATCTGATGATATTTCTTTCTTTTAAAGCTTATCATTCCAATATTTTTTCATATTCTTTTAAACAGCAGTTACTTAATAAATAGTAGGGTCTATATAATGGGTCCAATTTCTAAATTAAATTCCGAAAATAAATACATAATTTGTGTAATTCATATCAAATTTTTCAGGTTAAAATACTGTTTCTTCCGAAAAATTAGTCGTAGGCTTTGATTTTATCCATAGTTCTTATCCAAAAATATAAGCTAAGAATATGGAAACTACATATATTGAAAGAGTTATTAATCCTCCGAGGAAAGTTCGATGAATTTTATCTTTTTTAAATAATAAATCAATATTTGAGCCAAATTTATCGGAAGAAATTATGAAATTCCATATCTAATTGTTATGTTCTGTCATTTTTTTTTATAATATTTTTTTTATAATAAATATTTTATTAATAAAATTTATAATAAAGAGTTTGATATAATAAAAATCAAATTTTATAATTAAATTTTATTGGTATATAAAAATATGTTAATTAAAAATACGATTTTAATATATTAATATAATTTAATAGTCAGGCTCACATTGTTTATATATATATATATATATATATATATATATATATATATATATATATATTTTAATTATAATATATATATGGATACTATTATTAAAAATATAATTTATGATTTAAATTTATAAAAAAGATAATAATATATACATATTTTTTAAATTATAAAAAAATGAAGTTTATTTCTAATTTTTATTTTTTATTTTAAATTAAAAAAGAATCAATCAAAATCAATATTTTTAAAATATGAATTTTTCTTTAAATTATTTTTAATATTTTATTTTTATTTATTATAAAATAAAAATAAAAAGAAGAAGAAGTAATTATTATTAAAAAATATATAATGACTAATATTTATTTAAATTAGTTTTTTGTAAAAATAAATAAACATTTTATTAATCTCAATATATATTATTTAAATATTAATATGTTTATCTAAATCGAAATAAAGAACAAACTATAAATAATATATAATAATACTTTATTACTTATATAAATCTATATTTGTTTTATTATATAAATGATATTAGATTAAGAATTTAATTATTTTTGAACTTTCCTTTCGAATAATGACATATTTCTAAATTACTGAAAATATATTATATTTATAATATGAAATAAATAAATATAATATTTTACTGAGTCGGAGA